GGCCTGAAGCTGGGCATATACGCCGACCTGGGCACCTTCACCTGCGGGGGCTACCCGGGCACCACGCTGGACCTTGTGCACCAGGATGCCCAGACCTTTGCGGAGTGGGGGGTGGACATGCTGAAGCTGGACGGGTGCTACTCATCAGCAGAGGAGCAGGCAAAGGGTAAACTCCCTGCCCAGTGGCCATCTTCCCCCTCACCCCTTTGCGCATCTGCAGAAACACTTGGCCAGATGGTTCTTTCCTCACGCCTCCTGTTGCAGCTCTTGGGCAGAGAGGAGGGAGTTTGGGTGTCTTGGAGCTGGTGTAAGGCAGAGGCCAGGCTGGCCTGGAGTTCCCCTGGTCAGGTGGGCTGGGCACAGGCTGTGTGCTGCCAGCTGTCCCCTTCACCACTTGTCATCTTCTTTCCCTCAGGCTATCCAGAAATGGCGAGGGCCTTGAATGCCACGGGCCGCCCTATTGTCTACTCCTGCAGCTGGCCAGCCTACCAGGGGGGGCTCCCCCCCAAGGTGAGCGTTGTCCCATCCAGTGGCTGTTCCTCGTGTCCCCTGTGCCCTGGGAGACCCCTTGGCTGCAGGAGCTTGATGCTCCACCTGGCTTATCACTCCACCCCTGGGACTGCAGGTCCCCAGGGGGGATGTGGCCTCCCCACTAGGCGTGTGGGGACACTTGGGGGTCCCAGTGGTGGGAGTTTGGGGGAAGGAGTCCCTGGGTTATGCCCTCTCCAGCACACTCAGCTGGTGTGGGGTTGATCTGGACAGTCTGTTCTGAGATGGGACTTGTCTGGTCTAAGTGCCTGGGATAGGAGTTCCTCCTGGTAACGTTTCTTGAGAACTGAATGCATTTCTTTATTTACTCTTCCACCTTCTGAGTCAGTCCCAAGCTGTCCCCTTTCTTGCAGCTGATCATACTTCCCCATGGCCTCAGTGGTTTTTTTTGCCAGACATCCTCTCATGCTGGGATGTGCCCATGACTCCATCCTCCTCCACTTCATGATGCTGCCTTTCTACACATTCCTCTGCTTTGCAACCACCAAGCATCTTCTGGATGCTGCAGCTCTCAAGAATTCTGGCTGGCCCCTTCTTCCCCACCTTGCAGCCCGTGTCCCTTCTCTCCCTTGCCTGATCCTGTGCTTCCCTCCAGGTGAACTACACCGTCCTGGCAGAGTTCTGCAATCTGTGGCGTAACTACGGCGACATCCAGGACTCGTGGAGCAGCGTGCTGAACATCCTGGACTGGTTCTTCAACAACCAGGACGTGCTGCAGCCAGCAGCAGGCCCTGGCCACTGGAACGACCCAGACATGGTGTGTCTGGGTGCTGGGGGCACTGGCACTGCCTGGGGCACCTCCCAGGAACCCCCCTGGGGCACCTCCCGGGACCCCTCCTGGGGCAGGGCCAAGGAAGAGCACCGGCAGCAGGAGCCCTGCAAAGAGGCAAAGCTTGTGTTGCCCTTGACCAAGTCTTGGGAAAAGCCTGTGGTTGCAAGGAACCTGTCACCCCTCAAGGACGGGTGTTGGAGTTGTCCAGGTGTCCTTGTCCTTCCTGGCACAGCCAGAGGGCTGGTGGTGGTGAAGTGAAACATGTTAATGGCCCAGCCCCTAGCAGGGGTGGGATCTCCTGGCAGGGGTAGGCTGCTTGAGGGGAAGTAAAAGTGCTCCCCCCCTCGGGAAGTAAAACTGCTCTCTCCCTGCAGGCTGCATCATCACCAGGGGGAATGAGTAGAGATGTTTTTAACCCTTTTTTGTTTCTCTTGTGTTTTCACCCTCTCTGCTCCAGCTTATCATTGGAAACTTTGGCCTCAGCTACGAGCAGTCACGCTCCCAAATGGCCTTGTGGACAGTGATGGCAGCTCCACTCCTCATGTCCACGGACCTCCGCAGCATCTCCCCGAGCGCCAAGGAGATCCTGCAGAACCCCCTGATGATCCAGATCAACCAGGACCCCCTGGGCATCCAGGGGCGCAGGATTGTCAAGGTTAGGGGGCAGGAGTCTGCAGCTGGGAGGGCAGATAGGAGCAGCATGGGGCATCACAGCACGGAGGGAGAGGGAAGGAATGCTGGGAAGCGTAAGCAGGAGCTGGGGACCCGCCGGTGTAGCAGCCCCCCAGAGCAGGGTGGGAGGTTAGGGGCCGGTGCTGGTCCCTGCAGCTCTGCCTCACACCCCTCTGCCCCTGCAGGAGAAGTCCCAGATCGAGGTGTTCCTGCGCCCGCTGTCCCAGGGTGCCAGTGCCCTCGTGTTCTTCAGCCGCAGGACAGACATGCCCTTCCGCTACAGCACCAGCCTGGCCAGGCTCCACTTCCCCGAGGGCGCCGTGTACCAGGTGAGCCCCGTGTGCATCGCTCTCCTGTGGCACCCTCTGCATCCTGGCGGGGGGGGGAAGGACTCCCCCTCCCTGCCTCCAGGGAGCAGCTGCCCCTTGGGTCACCCTCCTGTGGCGCTCGGTCCTGCCACGTCGTCACCGTGGCCAGACCTCCAGATTTCCATCCGTGGTGCCCTGGCAGCCCTGGCAGCCCCCATCTCTCTCTTCCAGGTACAAGACGTGTACAGCGGGCAGATCATCAGTGGCCTGAAGACAGGAGACAGCTTTTCAGTGGTGGTGAACCCCTCGGGGGTGGTGATGTGGTACCTCTACCCCACGGCTCTCCCGGCGCAGGGCCCCGAGGGGGGCTTCCAGCCCGTCCTCCTGTGAGGAGGGCCAGTGCCCGGGGGTGGGGGTCAGTGCCAGGCTGAGCTGTGAGGCCCTGGGGCACACAGCTCTTCGTGGCACAAGTGCCTTTCTGCGGCGACCCTTCCCCCGGGACCAGCTTGGCGAGGTCTCCTCAGCCCTGTGCAAAGCAGCAATTCCTGTTCCCCCCCTCCCGAGGGCTGCAGAGCTGATTCCTCTGTGACTGGAAGCCCTTGAGACCCTCCCGTGGAGATGCTGTACACACAGAGTCTGGGCACTGCTGGACTTTGTCAGCTCTGGCACCAGAGCACCTGGCTGCTTCTCGCTGGGGACCTCCAACTGCTGCAGGGGCTGGTGAAAGGCTTTGGCTGCTTTAGTGTCTTCTCTGGTAGTCACCCCACCCCCGTGGGATGGCACCAGCCTCAGGGATCCAATCTGGTCGCCTTCTTTCCTTTGCTATAATCAGCTTGGTTTCGAATCAGGGGCTGCACCTTTCCCATGGACCAAGAGCTCCTAGAGGCATGAGAGTCCTGTGCAGAGGCTTTGCCTGGAGGCCTGATCCTGCTGCCTGTATCCTGCTGGCCAGCACTGCCACAGCCTGGAATGCACGCTAGCTTTGTATTAAAGCCCCTCTGGTAGTGTTTAGAGCAGAGCAAAATCCTCCCCTGGCCATGCACAACCCCAGCAGCCTTGCTGTGGTACAGCACCAAGAGCTGCAGAGCCACGGGGTGTGCTGTCAGGAGGATACTCAGCTGAGGTCACCTCTTGATTTGGGAAATGGTCACCGGTGCCTCAGAGCTCCAAGTTTCATCCTGTTCTGGCTCTGGCAGGGAATCTGGCTCTGTTCATGCCCTTCTCCAGCAGGCTCAACACTCAGGGTTTCTCAGGGAAATGGCAGCAACATCATCCACAGCTTCATCCTGAGGAGGAGCCTGCACTAACAGACTGGAAGTGAGCAGCTGGACAGACTCTGAAGCCCTCAACTCCTTCACCTCCAGCAGCAGGCAGCCCGTGGAGCAGTTCCAGCCAAGGCACTGCCTCAGAGAGGGTGCAGCACTCGTGAAGGTTGCCTCTGAAGATCACACCCCAGGGAGACCAACACAACATTAAGCCCCAGACTGGGGAAATACATTTTAGATTAGGTAGGAAAAACAAAAAGAGAGAGGTTTCCCTTTCTGTCCAGATGCTGGAGGGTTCCTGGGCACCCACCCACCCCGACTCCTGTGGGACCAAGTGGCTGCTGGTGGCCACGTCCAGAAACTTCTCCAAGACACTGAACACGACTTCCAGTGCCAACAAGGCTGGGCAGAGGCACTCATGTCTGTATACAGGAGCTGGCTTTGTTCTCGGGGAGTGATTTGGACAAATTAATGGAAATAAAGGGGAAGCAGATGGCAGGCTCTGTTTCATGTTTATTTGGTGGTGGTAGCTCAAGCTGCCTGGTTAATGCAGCATCACAGGGTCACTACCTCCAAAGAGGAACAGTGCTAGGAAAGAAAGGTGGGTTCCTGTCAGACTGGGCTGGTGCAGAGTGGGAAATGGCTCTCCAGGAGCTGCAGCACGTTTAACAGCTTCCCTGGCACAGAGGGAAGCAGCTTTCCCAGTCCAGTCAAGTGCCATTTTGCTTTGCCAGAGGTTTTTCTTCCTTCACTGGAAAAAATATTGGCTGGGGAGGAGTTCCTCTGGCAGCTAGTGTATGTAGGAGACAAAGCTGCAGTGAAGAGCCTGGTGATGGCCAAGGTCAGGCTGGATGGGCTCTGAGCAACCTGATCTAGTTGGGGATGTCCCTGCTCCCTGCAGGGGGTGGGATGAGATGACCTTTAGAGGTCCCTTCCCACCCAAAGAGTTCTATGATGACACAGCCCCTGCTAAACACAGCATGGTGCCTGCCTGAGGACATGAACACGTGCCAGTTCTGGCTACCTGGGGGAGAGTGAGGGCACAAACCAGCCTCCCACCCTCCCCAGGCTCCAGAAGGATGAGCCCCACCCTTCTGCGCTCTCCCCCCAGTCACTTGAGATTCCAGACCCAGCTCAGCCAGGCACCAGGAGAGAGGAGGACTGGCCCAGAGCCCACCCCAGGCAATACCAGGGGTTGTTTTTTCCAGCCTTCTGTGCAGCAGGCAAGCACCAAGGTCAACATCACCCACCCACCCCAGGGAACAGGCAGCTGAAGGTATCAACACCCCTGTATTAAAGTGCAATTCAAAAAGTTACAAACATTTGCCCTTGATTATTTTTTTTCAAATACAGTTATTAAAATCTCTCAGCTCAGATTTCAAAGGTGTTTCTAGATAAAGAAAATGGATTTCCTCCCCATGCAGGGCTACTTTAGGAATTCACCCTTGCCAGTCGTGTGAGCCTGGCACAGAGGAGAGCCCTGGCACAGGGAGGAGCCAGAGGGAGAACGTCTCTTCCCTGCTGGCATGAAGGCTGCAGGGACAAGCACAGTGCAGAGAGGGCCACGAGGGTCTCACCAGACCAGCGAGACCCTCCAGAGCAGGTCTGATGTCAAGGCAGAAGGGAAGGAAGGGAAGGCTGTGGCTGAGCAGCCCCTCTCTGCAAGAGAGCTGAGTGAGTCACTCCCACACCAGCCAGCAGCTCCTGGCCGAGGGGTCCCTGCACCCTGAAACCACCCTGTGCCAGCAGCACAGCCCTGCCCTGGCACCCCCCCCTGCTGCTCAGGGGTGGGCACAGGGGCACTGCCCAGGGAAGGGCCCTGGCAGCAGCACAGGCTGGCTCAGCAGAGGGAGCAGGGCTGGCTCCTCCCATCCCCTCACCCTGCAGAGCGGGTGCCTGGCACAGGACCACTGCCCAGCTGCTGGGGCAGCCAAGGGGAGACTGAGCTGCAGCCTGCTGCCAACAGCCCCCTGCCCCAGGCACACCCCTCCCTTTGCCTCTGTTCCAGCTCTGCCCAGGCTGACTGGGGCCTGTGCCCTTCCCCCTGCACAGCCCAGTGCCTCAGTGTCCCTCAGGAGGCACCTCCCACGTTCACCACACGACTGGTGGTCCATGACAGGAACGTTCCTCCAGCATAACGCAGGATTTCCAGAGTCCCAACTCATGCTGAGCTGTGCCAGAATTTCAGGAAATTTAACAACTTGCTGGGGCACCCAAGGGTCTACGTGAGGAACCTCACAGCTCTCTACACCTTCCCCTTGGATGGTGCTTCAGATGAAGCCAGGAGTTTGGCATTCCAAGTAGTTTTGACTCCAAGATCCCAGAGCCTTCATGTTTTAGTCCTAGATTAGTGATGTGGTCTACTGATGATGGTTCCAGAAGTCCATCTCTCCCCTCAAGCCAGTGGCAGAGCAGAAGGTTAGTGCTTGGACCACAGAAGATAAAGCAACTAAAGAGGAAAGTGCTGTTCCACCTTGTATTGCCCCCAGGTGAGTGTGAGGAGGGCAGGTGCTGAGCTGCCCAGCACTACAGACCTTGGATATACACAGAGACCTAGAGAGAATGCTAACCCAGGGTAGGAACTGCCAAGCTGTCTTCAGGGACAGAGAATGTGGGAGGCTGGCTGCAGCTGCCTTCTGTTAGTTGTTCTTCTTATCCTCAGGAGGTGTGTAGGGAGGTGGCTGGTCCTGGAAAGTGATAGGGGAGAGTCAACAGCTCCAGCTGCTTTCTGAGGAGCAGTTCCCAAGCTGGGCTTCCAGGGGAGCACAGCCCTGCAGTGACTGGAGCCAGGTGCTGTTTTCACACCATTCCATCACACCCCTCCTCTCCACTATCAGCTATATGCAGGGATGTGCTGCCTCCCAGAACATGGCCAGTGAAGGTCCCCTCAAGGCCAGGAAACAAACAGCCTCTTGCCAACAGACCATTTAACCCTTGTTAAGCACCTTCCCCCCCTCACTCCCAGGGCTTGGTCTCTGTAGCTGCTCCCAGCTCTGGCCCAGCAGACAGCAAGGCCCAGGGCCAGCTCTGCTACTCCATCAGTCTCCAGCCCAGCACAGAGCCACGCTGTGCAGACAGACTGGTGTCACACCCCAGCTGCAAGCTAACAGCAAGAGACCTCCCCAACCTGTGCAGCCCAGAAGGAAAAACAGAGAACCCCCCCTGCTCTCCTCCTGAAGTGACCTGCTCCTTCTTTTCAGCCCTCCCCACCTTCAGGACCAACAGAAGCAGTGAGCTCTGTGTGCCCTCTGTGCCCAGGCAAATCTGTTTTGCCTTTCAAAGTGAGACAAGTGCTGAGTGGCTGTTACTGGCTGGATCTTGGTGCCCTCCTCCTTTCCTGGCTGAGGATCTGACAAGGCTTCTCCATGGACCAGCAGCTGTGCCTCCCTCCTTCTGTGCATGCTCAAGGTGAAGGGAACACAAACCCTGGGGGGTGGCAGTGACAGAAGGCGGAGCAGGCTCAGCACCAGTACTCACCATGGGCATGTACACGTTGTGTGGGTTGGCAGGGTTGTAATATGCACTGGAAGCAGCTTCCATGGCCTTACTGCCACCTAGGAAGGGCAGAAAAGAAGCCACTTTACATGCTTAGGCTCCAGAGCCTTCTCCACAGCTCTTTTGAGGAGGCAACAAAGGTCCCAAGAGTCAACTGCAGCAAGCTGGGTTTGAATCAGAGCAGCTCAGGAACACTGCAAGCTGGCTAGAGCTGGCCAGGAGCTCTGCAGCCCAGAACTGAGCAGCTTCTCCCCAGTGCTTTGTTGCCTCAAGTCACAGGTCAAGACGACTCTGAGCTCCTGCAACATCTCCCCCATCCTGTGCTGTGCCCACCACACTGCCAACCAAGCCCCCAGCACTCCTTTAGAGCATGGGTACCCAGCAGCCCCCCACCCCATTTACCTGGCATCCCTGGGTCCACCCAGGCTGGGGGGGCTGAGGGTCCTGCAGGAGGTGGCCCCGAGTAGGGGGGAGGAGGTGGCACATACACGGCGTTTGGAAGTGGTGGGTAAAGACCTGAAAAAGATGGCACTGGCTCAGTGCTCTGTGCTGTGGTAATGGGATGGGGGGGAAGGGAGCCCACAGGCCCAGCAGCACAGCAGCCCTGAACACGAGCATGGGTGAGGGAAGCCCTGCAGGCTTGGCAGGGATCAGACCCTGTGCCAGTGCCCGCCGTGCCAGTGGGCAGCGATCCTCTTTTCACCTCCCAGCAGGATTTACAACTCCCCTTTTCACCCCCCAGCCAGCTGCAAGTACAGAGACACCACCAGGCTGCAGGTGTCTGCAGGGACAAGGATCCCTGAGGGGCACAGAGCTGCAGCCACGGGCACTCCCTCCCCCCCC